TTAGAACCCAGTTTATAATCTTCTATTCCCTCATCCAAGCGTATTTTTTTCTCTCCGAAACTATTGACCATCTAATTATGTACGTAACGAAATAAATTTCATAAATGATATCATTTTTTTAAGGAGGAAAGGCATTTGTTTTTGTGATTTTTCTTTTGTTGACAGCTTCCCTAACTTTGAAATTTTATGGTTTTAAATGTATCAAGAAAGCAATAATAGCTTTTGTACTAGAAAAAGTTTTGATCATCATTTTTGCTGAAGAATAATTTCAAAAACAAAAGATTCGAAAAAAAGTAGAGAATTGTATATTCAGATATATTCAAAATATAATCCAAATCTAATCCAAACCCTATTAAGGGTTGCCCTCCAAACAAGCCACCCTATGACCCCAAACAACACAATGTTTAGTCAAACAAATCAACCCAATCAACTACTCGTATATCATATGTAGAGAACCCCTACACCTTCGAAGAAGGACACTCGTAATTGTCAGAGCCACTGAAACCAGCCATCCGTCACGTACCCCTCATCGAACCACAATACGAACCAACATATTTTACTTACCCCTCAGTAAAACAAGAACTTAACTTAACATTTGAGCCAAAGTCGATATCTGACAACTACAATAGACAGAAAAATTATTCACCCCAGACACAAAAGAGATCTAACAACACCAAAAGTTCAATTTGATATCCCCTCATCACCATCATCAACCCCTCTATATTTTTCTCATAGAACAATTCAAAGTACCCCTCACCACTCCAATTCACTTCTCAACAAATTACGTCAAATTTTCCATCAGGTTCTTGGGTTAAGCACCGACTTCTAAACAAATTCGTGAAAATCCCTTACATCACCCACTCCGTCATAAAGAAATGGATCACCCACAAGCTTTCTCAAGGCGAACCAGAGTTTTTAAGCGATCCAAAAGATTTTTCTTCGGATACCTCCTTATCACTAACAAATCATTGTCCCTTCCAATTAGACAACAGATAACGTGAACTACAATGGAGAAGCAAATCATTATCCCTTCCAATTAGACGACCGATACCGTGAACTACAAGGCAGAAGCAAGACTTTACACCGAGTCTGGAACTCTTTTGTAGCCCGCCGCCCACTTTTTTGCCAACACCTCGATAGTAGTCAACTCCATAATTGGGCACTAAACAGTTTGCAATATAAACACGATATTCAAAAAGACATCCGAGAACAGTATATTCAGATTCTTTTACAGCGAAACTTAACTCTCAAAATTGAAAAAACCGTGAAACTCAATAATTTAGTACATCATTCATTATCGTTGTCGCCACCAGATATGAGCGGTCAATCGTTACAGCCTCCATTTCTCACTTCAGAACGCATACATAAATACGACAGATAGACAAATAAACACCATAGAAAACACTACAATAATATGCAATTAAGCAGGTCGAACAATGTGATTCTGAACAACAAGATATTGAATCAATAACTGTTAGTCGCTACACTTCAGCCCAAGCCACAACTCTAACAGGTTATAATATTACAGGAAAAACCTCTGAAAAGAAATTACATTTTTGGGAAGTTTCAAAAGGAAACAAGAATAGAATTATTCAAGAATTTTTCTACCAAATTAATCTAGATTAACTACCACATCTTGACCCTGAAGATTCCTAATATGACGTCAAGTATTTAAAAAAGTTTACTAATAAAGACGAAAAGCGTAAACTATCAAATTTTTCAAGACTCTGCAAATCAAGCACAACTCCAACACCGCCAATATCATTTCCAACAAGACGATAAATTTTCTTATCATCCTGCACACGGACGTTTAATCTATGATAAACATGATAAAAAATGGATGCCTCACATTGGAATTAAAAACCCATCAATCTGTAAAATAGACACCACAAATTCAGGCTACCAAGAAAAAATATTCTTCGATCATTAAAAATCAACTAGAAAAAGTACAACTACCACGAGATTTACAAGATGATTTTATACCTTATCCAGGAAATTTCTCACCTTGTAGATACGATCAAGGATATTGCGATCCCACTACAAGAACGCAGACAACCATAATTTGGTTCCATGAAGACACGTGTATCACATTTCAAGTCGCTAAAATTCACGCAAGAGTTTCATGCAAAAAAATTCAAAGAGTCCATACCCTTTGATAAAATAAACCCTGAGCGAACAGGGTCAAACCCAAAACAATATAGGAACATACTGTTTGGAAAATAAATTAACAGAATTTCAAATTTACTCTGTAACTGATGTAGCATGCAAATACCCCAAACCACTTTTTCAAACCAATTTATCAGAAATTCTTATCGATTATAAAAAACGTTTCTACTTCAAAACAGGAAAACTAATTCTTGACATGGCAGAGCCGACGATTAAACTTACATCTCGTTAACATTTTACAAAAATAATTGAAACATTGAAAGAAAAGCTCTTTCCCAAAATGAGGATATTACCAGGTAAAAAAAACTATCCCTACATGAATAATACATACTTTGGCGCAATTCACTATCACATTCACTTCAACATGAAGCTAGACTACATAATAAGCAGATTTTATCAAGAAATGAAACTTTCCGAAATAGAAACACTACATCATTTTTTTCACTTGAAACGAACACAATTTTGCAATCTCTTGCAGTAGCAGTACTCAAAATAGCTTTTGCAGGATACCTCTTATCAAGCAACCACTCTAATTTCATTAATTACGAAAAAAAACATTATTCCACTTGCACCACTTACACTTGCACCACTTAATGTATTTGAAGACAAAGGTGCTATCAACGCATGCATAAATTTTATAAAATTGAAGTACATCTTGTAGACAACTCATCACGCCGCACATATTTATGAGATTTAGTTGTCCCATGTGGATCTGAATATATCCATTATTTAGTACAGCTTTACACAAAAGAAGATAAATATTATTTTCTAACTCCATACCTTCAAAGAAATTCTCACCTGAGAGCATATGCGCAGTCGCTTTCAACCCAAGTATAGATTCACAATCAATAGGCATATACTTCAAATCTGATTTACAACATCACATTCGAATACAACAATTTCAAAAACTTTTCACTAAAATGGATACAACCAAAAAACAATCCATTGACCAGAACATCCGCAAACTAGCTGAAACAGCAAGTTTTTCAGACCTCTACCGACAAGGTTACGGTGGAAGTTTAAAATATATATCCTTAAAAGACAATATATACCTAAATGGAGAAAAATATCGCCCACAAAGTATCTCAACACACAATATTTTTAGTTTACTAATTATCGAAATCGAATGGATCTAGGATGGCCCTACTATATTTTAGAGAGATTGACTATCTTATATGCAATGTTTAATATTATCGGATTTCTCTTCTCATTATTAAAAAGAAGTTAGAACACATGCGCAATACATACACAAGTCAAATGATAAGCTAGCGTAGCACGATTTTTTTAAAGGAGTTTTTGGAGTTTTTTCACGTTAATCAACAAAATTCTTCTTTGTGCTTAAACTACCGATTTATCTACAAAACCAAACACATACAATACTCCACAAGCCAATATATATAGTACGACTTTGAGCAATTTACAAAACAAACATCCTTTATCACTAATCTCACAAAGTTGTTGAAGTACACTTTCGACCGCCGAATGGATAATAAATACTAGTTATTTGCAACGTAGCCCTATATCTCATATAGCACTGCAACAACCCACTATCGACGCTACATAAGAAGAACCGCATACCTTGAATTTTCGTTCTCAAAAAAATCATCATTTTAGCCCACGATGAGCTGCCAAGTTGGATCCCACAACCGTTCCCTTTCTTTTCCATCTAATCTCCTTAGCCACAATTCTCTCATTGCAATTTCATACCTCACCTCTTCCCCCTCTCCAGTTTCTCTTTTAACCACGCATGGACTCACCACGCACCAGTTTCTCACCACGCATGGACTCTGATGACTCAAATCAAACAGTATTTAATACAATTTCTAATTTTAATTACTCAGATTTGAAACACCCGATGAACTCCTAGACTCCGAACCCAGTGCACTTCCTCGCGCACTGACGCTACCCCTATTCTTTCCCTTCTCTCAAGTAATGCACCTGATGTACCCAGCCCCATCACAAATGACC